CTTCACAATTTTGCTTTTTTTTTAGGCCCCCCCCCCCCCCTGTCAAATCACCAAACATCGAAGCTTCTTTGATGTCAAAGTGCTAAAAAGACAAATACTGGCAAACACACATGCATCATAAATGTGTCTAAAAGAATCTGTGCACATTTTATACTGGAATCAATCTCCAAAGTACACAGCACAATGTGCAGAAAGATTGGAAGCGGACACAGGAGAGAGGGTTGGAGGGGTGCAGTGTGATCTTGGCGAGCAGAAGGCACGGAGCTGCAGAGACGGAGGATGTTTGAATCGAACACACAATAACATCTGGGGTCAGAACCGAGCGGGGCTTTAGTTTTTATTGTGTTTGCTAAGACAAAACACACTGTGGCTGCAGAAGGAAGCGCCTCGGGGGGGGAGTGAATAATGTCTGTTTTCATTATTGATTAGTCTAGTGAGGATTTTTATGTTTAATTTTGGAGAAGAGACGAAAAAAATATGCAGAAATATTGCCCTGAGGCACGACTTCTTCAAGTTTCATCAAATAGCTAATAAAAGAGAGAAAAGCCTCAACTACCAGACGGCAGAACGGGCTCTTAAAATATGCATTTTATTTATATATTTTATTTGTTAATCTTTTATCTGTACTAACACCACATTAAAGGGAGAATGCTAACAGAAAGGAAGTGCAGCTGCTCGTAAAGTGGAAATAGTGAGGAAAAGTCCCCTGAAATGCATAATGTCAAAGTACTTTCTTATATGCCACCTATTCGGTGTTAAAATAGGCCTTCATTCTGGGAATTATATTTGACATTTTCAGCACTTTCTGCACTCGCAGCAACCAGCTGTACGGCAAGAGTAGGAACAAGAAAAATTCAAACCCTTACATGTGGAGGATGGCCACCCTTGAAACTTAATGGAAGAAAAAAACAAAACAAAACAACAACAAAAAAGACAATCACTTAAAAGCAACCAAATCAACACCCTGCTTCAAATAGCCCAGTGGGCTGGACGGGCGCATTACGCATCCCAGCCCCAGAAACCGACTTTTTGAAAGCAGCAGCAGCTGGGCACGCTGCATCTATCCGAAAAAGGGTTTTTAGGGCGCATCGACTGTGAGTGACAGCTCCGCCGGGTGAGCGATTTTGGGAAATGAGTGCACGGCTCTGCCGAAGTTGAGGAACAGCCGGGAGCCACGGCAGCAGACCCTGACTGAGAGGAACTTTCCTGGAAGTTTCCTCGAAAACGAGCCCTCCGCCCCCCACAACCCAATCTCGTTTTCAGCTCCCATTAGAATATGGAACTGTTTCTCCTAGATAGCTCTGTGTCGGCCCGCCTGCGCTCACGCAGCGTTGTTGTTGTCAGCCCCCGCCACGCAAGAGTCACAATCCCAGGCCATCGGCTGCTCAAAATGACCTACATGGAGAGCAGACGCAGAGGCTGTCTGTCTCTGAGATGGCTGTGGGTATTTTTTTCACCGCATCTGCTGAATTTGTTCCCGCTCAAACCTTGCTAGCATCAGCAGCTTGTTAGTTTCTACTCCCCCACATTCTGCACAGGATACAATGTTGTCATCTCACTCTCTGGCACATCCACAGATTCCCACACACGCTCCATTTTCATTTTTTTATTTCTTTTTACAGTGTCTCTTCAGTTTATTTCTGATTCAGTGAGATCCAACTCTTAGTCTGGAATCGGATCGCCGTGGTGGGCAGATGTTCCTCTTACTGTCTGTTTGGGTCAAAACAAACCGCTCTGAGGACGCAGGAACTGTTTACACAGCAACACATCTGTGTACTGTACTCTGTCAAAGCCAGGATGTAGAGGTCCGGATCGCAAAGCGGAGCGGCGTGGAAAAGAGAAATGCGTGATGCGATCCAAATGCCGCGTCCAAGGATATCTAAACAAAACTTGCCTGTTTACCTCCAGCATTTTTAAGATGACGTACACCCCGGGCCGCGCACTTACATGGAAAATATCAAACGGGCGTCCGCAGGGCGAGAATCGCAGCCGAGGAACATCAGAGGGCAACTCCTGCAACTTGGAAGTGGAGTTATTCCATGAAAGTCATCAGTCATTTGTTTGTTATTTCTTTCGGATTTCTTTTCTACACAGCTTGCGCGTGCTGTTCATTGGTATATGAGAGTCATTCAACATGTCTCGATTCCCCCCGCAGGGCCGGGCGGGCGACGTGGATACGATCATCTGTCATAATACGGGCCTATGCAATCGTATATCGCGGCGTACGCAGCGGCGGTCCGTTTTCCATCAGTGCAACTTGAAACTTTACATCCAAAATTCCTGGACAGGAATTCGATGGCGAGCTAATCGGATCACTTCATCACGCTGCAGAAATGACACAGCGCGGTGCATGCAGGGGTCCTGAGTCGTGGTCGCTTCCCACAGACAGAAACCCCCCACAAGTAAACAGATAATTATTGTCTCTCACTTTTAATTATGATCAAGCAGTTTTACTGCACTTGACATCAATGAATTACACTTTAAGCTGCTTCGCTTTTGGTTAAAGTTTCTATTTTTCTTAGAAGTCTGAATGTGTGGAGTTTCCATGTTCTCCTTGTTCAGGCATTAGTTCTCTCCAGGTACTCCAGCTTCCTCCTGCAGTCCAAAAACATGGTTGTTGGGTTAATTATTAACTCCAAATTGTCTTTAAAGTACATAATTTTTGATACAAGTGTGTATAATGATGTTAAAATAAATATTTTAATACAAAAGAACAAAATTATACTGAAATATTTTGAAAAGAGTAACTTTAATTTAAAAACATTAAATAGGTGGGGGGGAAAATCTGCCACATTAGATCCAAATTGGCACCTCTCACCAGGTAGAGAGACATTACTTTTACTTTTCTCTGTCACTAAAAGAATTTAATTAACAGATCATGGAAAATACTGAATAACTACTGAAGTCAAGTTATCTAAGCTACTCTTCAAAATAGGAAAATCTAGAAAATATTTAAGTAATGTGAAATGTGTGTTCCTAAGTCAGGAAATGGCTACATGAAAGTAACTACTTGTCTAAGCTTGTCTATCTAGACTGTCAGTGCAATAATTAAAAGGCTTAAAGGCAACTGAGATAAACAAGGCTGGACAAGGACCCATATTTATCTCACCGCCACACTCAGGAGGAAGAATATCTGCAAAGCAGGGAATTAGTTACATCCTAGAGCCATAAAGTCTACGCAGTCAGATAAAGGTTTTTGAACACGTCTTTACCAAATATTGCCAATAATTGTAGAGGATGCTGTAGTTATTGAGGGGGAAAAGATCTTATAAAGAATTCATGAAACCCAAAGTGGTCCTTGAACTTTATATGAAGATGAATTACCTTGGTTTGAATTGTAATATCTGAGGTTCTGCTCATTTGTATAATATTTGATATGGATTTATTCATGAACACTTTCCCTATCTCCACTTCGGTGTAGATAAATCCAATTGACTGTGACACTATCATCAGATAATATGAGCAAAAAGCTCAGGAAGCAGTTAATTGTAAAAATATTGTAACCGAGACACATTTCAGCTGTCTCATTTATGAGCCAATTATAAAATCTCAGAATGAACAATCAATGAGAGAAGGAAAAAACATGTTTTTCCAATCTTCCTCCAGATTCTGGTACCTTGATTTTCCAAATTAAAAAAAAAGCACTTCTTTTTTTCTTCTTTACTTTAATGTGAATGGAGGAATTTGAACCACTAAGCAGCAGTTCTGTCCTTTCTCTCCTTAGCCCAGTAAAGACGGTTCTGACATTGTCGCTGATTCACGAATGTTAAGACGAGGAATGTGACAGCGTAAGTCTTCATTCTGAAAATATGTTATAGTTTCTGAAGCTCTGACATTTACCACCACCCACACTTTGTGAATCTCCCCCAAGTTCTTGAATTTTCTTTGCTTCATAATGCTGTGATTATCCTACTTGATTGTGCCCCTTTTTCTAATACAGTTATTTCTTTCCCTCAACTTTCTAATAATTCCATGCTTGGAAACACACCACTGTGAACAGCCAGCTTCTTTAGAAATAGTCTGAACCCCCCCCCCCACCTGAATTTTAGGCGCCAATGATCAAAATTAACAGAAACCAGCAGAAATATATGCTTAAAGTACTTCACTATATTACAATAATCAATTTCACATTTTAGTTTTACTTTCTGAATTGAACTGCCAATTAATTGTTTTCAGACGTTCAAATTCATTGTAATTTGAATGTTATTGTAATTTGAATGTTATTGTAATTTGTACATCCCGGACGAGCCCCCACTGATTGAGAAATATGGCTGAATGTTGCAAACAAAAGAGAAAAATCAACTCACATAACACCAAGAATCAGTGAGACGTGTAAGAGGGTGCAGATAATTTGGGTAACGGCATTTACCCAAATTAATGCTATTATATTTATATATAAATATAATAGCAATAGCTGGTTCCTAACTAGTTAGTTAGGAACCAGCTAACTAATTAGATTACTTACATAACATTACAGAAGTTGGCTTTATAGCTTTCCACCCTCCTGCTGATATTACAGCTTATTATGGCATGAGCTATAATATCACTGTAATTGCCATGTAATGACTTCAATTTTAAAACTACAACTTCTATTTTGACAGAAGGGCAACACAGTTTGACAGAAATCATCACACACACACGTCTGTTTTTTTTTTTAAAAAACATTTTCAGGGTTAAAATGGAAATGAAACAAGAAAATTTGTTGAATGTATTTCTTTAACATCAAAAGAATGTCAACTTCATTATTTTATCAAAATTTAAACATGATATAGAGGTTGGTAACAATTCTGAAAGGAAAATTGGAGAAACCCTGCTGGCAAGTGTTTTACACAGAACAGCTCTACAGTTCCAGAGATCGCGTCTCGTCGGACGCTGCTGGCGGACAAAGTCACGGCAGGCACACACGGCGTTAAATGGAAATGTCACACCAAAGTGAAACATGGCTTCAAGGCAGCAGCGCTTTTCTTTGTGTTCTACATGTGAGGTGAGCGCACACTTACCTTGCCCGACTTTCATGATGACTTTCATGGCTCGGCTCTTGCACACGCCTCCCTCGCGGTTCTCCAGGCCCTCGATCGTGCCGTTGGAGGTTGCTGGAGGGCGGAGGTGGGGGAGGAGGGATGGAGGAAGCAGGACGAAGAGAAGGGTGGAGGGAAGAAAGAAGGCAGAAGAAAGAGGAGAGATGGTGACACGTTGGTTAATGAGCACGTCCATAACGCACAGAACTAATCAATATTTACGACAAGCTCTGATTAGCTGTTGCAGTGATTAGCAGTTCTCACCCTCAATCAGTGGCCAGCGCCTCTCAACGCCACCTCTCATTAACATAAGATAGTGAAGTCAAACGCAAAGGAACAACATTACAGTCCACTGAGGTGGCGAAGAGGAACTCGGTTAGACCTCAAACAGTGTGTGCGAGTTTGTGTGTGTGTTTTCTGTTTGCGCATAGTTTAGCAGTGAGGCACGGCTACCAAAGCTCCAGCTGCCTGCCAAGTCCTTCGAGCAGCTAACTCCCTCTGGGCCACATGTGTCACCACTTGCTGGTAGTGCAGCGAGCTAAATGCCTCGCTCAAAGTTCTTGCTGCATCCATTTCTAAATTAGTGCACGGACACGCGGAGTGTCTCCGCTCGTTTCAAAGCCCGGCTCTGATCCGGCCGAGGAAGGAGAGTTTAGGGGTCCGGCGTTGTTTATCCAATGTCACGGTCTCTTCACGCGCCGCGACACAATTGGCTGTCTATTTCCAGGCCCATGATAATGACCCGGGGAGACAGAGTGTGACTCCAACCTTAGCACTGAGCAGTTAAGCACGAGGTTGTGTATGTGTGTGCGCATTGGGACATGAGACGATGGCTCTAAGTTTGGAATTCCCCAAATGATCTCCATGACCGCTTACTCTGCTCTTTTCCTTCCTCTCAATTGCTTTTGTTTCTCTTCCTCGCCTTATCCATCTAGGTCTCAAATCATTCCACTTTTTATATATACATATCTGTAATGTCTGCCTCTCCTCCTTCCTTTCCGTCCCTCTTAACTCAATAACCATCTCCCAGGGTGATTGCTTCAGATGGCACCCTCATTACGATGACATTGTCTTGGAGAGGATGCTTATCTAATGACAGCACAAAGAGAAGCAAACTTGGCTGCGGGGCAGAGGAAGGAGGGGAGGGGATGCGGGTCCAAACAATGCCTGACAAACACTGGAATACTTACTGGCATGGCTGAATCAATGTTTCTACATGCGATTACTTGCTATAAACTCCTGTATCAAGCTGTTGAAATGTGGCTCCGCAGCTACGGAAAACAACAACAAAAAAAGAAAGGCTCATCTAGTTGATTCATGTCCTGTCATTCCTAAGTGTTATTAATGCTGACATTTTGTCACCTCCCCCCCATCCCGAGGGATTCCAGCTTCTTTACTTCAGAGAAATTGAACAAAACGAAATAATGAACAGCACTAATATTGTGTTACGCTATCAGATGGCGCTCGGCCTCTAAATTACGAGGGCAAGCACAACATTTTGCTAGCATAGCCGGAGTGCGTGATAATTTGTGAGGCTCGCTGTGATAACATCTTGTCAGGAGCTCTTTGGCGAAATCAACCAAATCCCCATCGGCCCCCCCATAAACTCTGGTGTAGACTCAACACAGCTGAGGGAAGTGGACACTGAAATACACAGGAGGGGCCTGGACAACTAAGTGCCGTGCACGAACAGAACAACATTTCAAATTTACGTGCAGCATTAATGTGAAGGAGCGCTCCAGGCTTAGAGAGCCTGGTGAGTTATCTACGTCCTGTAATCTATAAAAGCTGCGGCGTTATTTCTTTAAACTAAATGTTAAGTAGTTTTACCTAAACAATACATCAAGCTAAATTTGTTGGATGAGATTTGGTATGTCGGTAAGATTTTAAACAGCTGTGACTCACTAAAGTGTTTTATCTGAATGAGCATTAAAAGACGGATTCAGTTTTTTTTAATTTAATTTACAATAAAAAGTGAACCTAAAGCGGGATGTTCATCACAAAAACTGACAATTTTCACGTTTTCTCAGACATTACCAGGAAATCGAGCTTTAATGTGAAAAATTTGAGTCAAGTGAAAAGAGTTTACTTGGAGCCTGAACCCTTCAGAACCACAAACATTTGTTCTACATATTCTTTTCTTCATACTTATTCAGTTCTGGAAAATTACATTATCAAATCCCATACTTCCACAAACTTTGTAGGAGCTTTTGTAAAATAAAACATCCATACAATCTGGATACATGTTTATTCAAATACAAATTCTAATAATAGTTTTGGCTTGATCCTAATAATGCTTAGACTTTTGAAAAGAAAACCATTATTAATTATATCAAAAAATTATGTCCACTTAAATGTAGCAAACGACTCCACTCATATTACGACTTTTAGCCACTATTGTGAAGAATAAAATGTTATTAGAATGGAAACTTTTCTTGTAGGTTAAAAAGCATTTGTTTGTGTTTCAAATCAGTTGTTTTTGTGTTTTTATTCCTTAAAAATATTACCCAACTATTAGGTTGGTTTAAAATTTTATAGTAATAGTAAATCAAAAACGTTTTTCTTGGACCAAAAGTTTGATGTCGGTTGTAAATCTGACATAAAGCAAGTAAATGAAAAACAACCTGAGTGTGATAATGAGTGTGTTTACCATAGGTTAATACTACCATTCACCACAGCAAAAAAATAAAAAATAAAAATTAAATAACCAACAGACTGCTGGTAGCATCTACAAGAACTGTTCAAAAAAGTTAATACAAAATTAGTATGAAATTTGCTAATAAAAGTCTTAAATAGCATGAAGATGCTGTTTTTTATTTGATCTCTTTCAATGCCCAGTGAATTCATAAAAATAATTTTGAGCCTCACAGTAGCAAAGTTTCTAGTTGTTCTACTAAAAAGGGTAAATTTTCTCCCAACTTTCTGCCATCTTCCCTAAAACCTGGTCAGATACTCACTCCAAGTTGTCGGGGTGTCCAGGGTTACCGCTCCGCAGTATACGCAAACCGCATATATTCAACACAAATGTTGGACTATTAGAAATGACATAATTCGTTCTTTGTGTACAATTGTAATATCCTCTCTGATGAACGTAGCTCTCCTGCAATAAATCCACTCCACACAGACTACAGTGCCCAAAATGCTAAAAGTCGCCATGTTGAAGGTACAGATGAGAAACACAGTCATCAGGGTTTTTACGAATATCTTTTGAATCACATAATTTTCAGATTACATGCAGCTCAAGTCCTGGATGTCAGCACCGAAGCTGGGGTAACGGGTATAAGGCAAGAGTTGAAAATGGAGAGAAGGAAATACTTCTTCAGTAATCTAGGTTATTGGTAAGTCTTCACATTTGGCAAGAGTCAGTTTATTATTATTATTATTATTATTATTATTATTATTATTATTCTGGCCTGAATCTAGGTTGTTTTGAACCCAGCAGTTCTCAGAGTGTAACCAAGGAGCCGTGACTTGTTTAACGTGACGGAGAGGTGAACTGGACTGCACCCGGTTGTGATAGAGTGGGTGCTGATACAAGCACTATAACCTGATCTGTGATTTTACACCCAGTTTCCTCTCCTCTTTCCATTTTCCCCCCCGTTTCCAGGGGAAAGTTACACCAGAAAAGAAAAAAAAAAAAGTCGAACCTCTTTGAAGCTCAAGCTCAAAGGCGCTTGAATAATCTCACTAAGAGTGAATTTTATATCCACTCAGGGAGAGCAAATCTTCTCAGTGTTAACTTACTCCTGTCGTCTAAATTAACCATTCCTTCAGGCTGGCTGAATGGGGCCTCTGCATCGCTGATGTGGCATAATGATAAGTTGGCCCTTTGAGGCTCCTGTTTAGCCCAGCGACTGAAAGGGAGCTGGATTTATAAAGATGATCGCTTCACATGTTGTTTGCATTCAGACCATGTACAACGTCACATAATTCAAGCCATTACTGTACCGCTGGAACTTCATAATCTGATTAACTGTGTCCGATCATAACCACATTTCCTTCTGCGAATCCATCTTTTAAGCGCTGCTCAAGATGGAAATCAACTGCAGGAACCAACTGTTGCGCGCTCTCAAAAAATGCGCTGCAAATCTTCAAACGGACCTGGAGCCTCTGCCTCGGCTGATTTCGGTTTACTCACATCTATCGTGTCAAGAGATCATGCTACAACTGTGCCAGCCACGTTTGTCAAACTCCCTAACCCCACTCGACAACAAGGACACACTGCCAGATTTTTTTTTTTGGTATTTTAATCTAAAAGCCTCTCACTCTATCTTCTCTTCCTCTCGTTCAATTTTTCCCTCGTCTCTTTCTCTCTCTCTCTTGCTCCCTCTCGTTTCATCCCCCGAGCGCTGACGTTAATCCAAATCTGGATTTCCAGATATTAAAAGGCCAACAGTCATGTCGCGTTTTGGAGGGAGGAAAGTGGGGAAATGGGTCTTCCTGTGTGTCTCGGCAGAGATAAAAACACAAGGGAGGGATGAAGGGATGACAGGACGAAGAACAAAGACAGGACCGGTCCACCGCTAATGATTGAGTGGAACAAACTCAGCGGTCCAGAATACCCAAAAGAAGTGGTCATTGCATGAAGGAATGCTGCGTTTTTGAAAGAAAGCGGCTGGCTCCATAAGAGGGGGTTTGTGTGATTTAAGACCCTCTTTGTGGGTGTGGATCGTTGGCCACAGAGTGACTAGTGGGAGAACAAAAGATCTACAGCTGCTGAAGTCATAAGAGAAACCAGGTGCCAAATGTTGATGTTGGGAAATATCTACAGTACAATGACGTGAGCCAAGAGCAAAGCTCCTGTTCCAGCGCTACATATGTTCTTCTACTGTATTTTTGCCTACAAGAAAACATATTAAAGGAGGTTGTTTTAAAGTAAAGTTCTGTTGAAACGTTGTAAGTTTCAACAGAACTTACCTGCAGTAGTTAACTCATACAGAATAAATCCAGATTCGTTGGTAGTGGAGCCTGAAGCCAGCGGCTTTAAACCCCGTGAGCAAAGTTTCAAAAGATGATGATGCCTTTCTTCTAATTAATGTGAAAAAGTGCAGAAAAGCCAAAAGTGAAAATTCTGCTGCATAAAGACATCTACAGATGTCTGAATCTGGCTGAAAAGGGGGGGGGGGGGGGGTTGCTCCACTGTGCAAACTGGTTTTAAACATCTTTGTTCAGGCTAAATTTAGACATGTGGGCTAAAAAGAAGTCAAATTTTCAGCATAATTTTCAGGGTTAAATAAAGGCGTCCTAAAAAAAAACCCCTGCGCCGATGTTAATGTTTGGTGGGAAGTCTGACAGGAGAAAAAAACAAACTTCCACACTTTTAAAACAACTCCAGGCTTAAACGTAGCTGTTTATGCTAACTCTGTTTTGCTAGTTCTTTGGTCCACATCAGAATTCATGTAAGAATTCACACCTCCCCAAATGAACCAGACTTTCCAGGCAAACGAACTACAGTTTGAACAAAGCGGCCTAAGCAAAGGTGGTGTGAATGAACGGACCTTTTGTCTTGGTCCAATCCAAACTAGTCGTTAGCTTTAGTCTTTGCAACAAACCAGCTTGGACTTATGATAAGTAACGATACCAAAACAGTTGCCTCTTCAACAGAGGGCTATGAAAATCCCAGAAATTTCCCATTTAACATTCATATTCGAGTGAAGGCCTCAACAATCGACTAAAAAAAACCCAGATTTCACAAGGACATTCGGGGTGGAGAGGAAGGACTGTTCCCCAAGGTGCTCTGGGAAGAGGAGTGGGAGACGTGTTGCGGGATACCAGCGCTGAGTGGTCCAGACAACACATGCTAAGGCTGGAGCGCGGTGCAGCGGTCTATATTTATTCTCAGGTCTGCTAAATGAGGTCACTCAGGTGGTCCTGGTGAATACATCCCCCCCAACCCGCCCCATATCCATCATGAATCATCTACTGCTTATTATTCCTGTTCGGCCCAGGAGGAGTGGGGACGAGGCGGGTGGGGAGGGGAAGCTTTCACACAGAGCAATAGGCTCAGTGTGGAGCTAGCCGCGGCGTGCACGTTTGCGTGCGCAACATCTGCCCAGAGCACAAGCGCAGGGATGGATACAGCCCATGTGACAGACAGAGAGCAGGTTGTTTAATGAGAATGTGGATGAGAGGTGACATTCATTGGCTGCCTCTCACCCACAGCATTCAGACTCCCACTCAGAAGAGCAAAGGCAGGGAAAACGGTAGGCGCAGTAACCACTGTCAATAATGTCTACATTCCCCCCCCCCCAAAAAGAGAAATGGGAGATAAATACATAAGCGGGCGACAACTACCATCGGATCACTCTCGGTTAGCGTCAAGGCGGGGAAGAAGAAAACACCGCCGCCGCCGCGCGGAGCCGCTTCATCGCGTTTTTCGAGCAAAGCAGGGCACAAAAACGACACACTCCATTCCAGTCAGCGTGTTTACGTATCAAACAGAGCATCGCCATAAAAATGTCCATTTCTCAGAGCTGCGATTTCCCTATCTGGGTTTTTGTTTACATTAGTCGGGCAGAACTGAAGTGCTGAGAAGCAAAAGAGAGCCTATTTGCACAAAATATTTCACTCCTGAACGAGCACAGGGAGGGTTAGATTAGGTTTATGTGCCTGATTCCAGAGATAACCCTCCCCGGCAGACCTGGCGCGCACACAGGGGAAGCATGCGCACACGCGCACACACACACATGCACACACACGCACACGCGTATATGTGGATGAAAAAACACATACAGACAGGGGTTGACAGACTGGAATAATACTGGGGGGATCTGGATGTTTGCACTTTGAACCTTTTCTAATCCTGAGTATTAGGGCATGGCTAAAGCCTGATTATAGTGGAATGAAATGGATCTAAATAGATGTCCCAGCCCATCACACTTCCATTTCTTTTGTCCCAGAAATAGGAATGGAAATCAGTAATCAACCTTCCAGCCCTCCTGCTCGCCGTCTCTCTCCCACATAGCCTCGTCTGTAGGTTTGGCATCAGCCAAGAAGATTCGTTTAGACTTTTTTTTTTTTCTCTTTTTATCATCTCAGATGAGTCGAGCGCTCTCGGCTTGGCTGATGTTTTTTTTCCTCTCCTCTCTGCCTCATGCTTCTCTGTCGTAATAGAACCTGGCAGACAATATAAAATTGTCACAGCTTCAACGCTTGACAAGCAAATTTTTTATGCTATTTTGTGTATCCAATATTGAATTTGGGTCAGAACAAATGTGGTTTTGAGTAATGAGGGTGGACACAGCTGATTTTCTCATCTCTCTCTGCTTCTCTGTTGCCTTTCCTTTTGGTGGCGGTCGCTTAAAGCTTCGCCACGCGGTACCTCTGATGTTACTGCGTGCCGTCTGCTCCCAGGAGCCGCTTGGCCGCGGTGTAACGGTAAGCAGGGTAAGGGGTCAAGGTTTGTGGTGCTTAGCTGCCCGGCGTGAATGCAACTGTTGCTCTGCTCCCCTGCGTCTCTCCACAGCCAGAGGGGGAGCTCCTCTCCCACATCCCGATTAGTCTGCTCCCTCACTCTCACACACACACACACCGGCTCACATTTTGTCTCGTTACAAACATCATTACATTTAGAAAGGCATTTTTCAACGATAAAGAGGATAATTCTTACATGGATGTATGTTTGGGATTGGATTAATAGGGTACTTTAACATTTTTCTCTGCAGACCCCCTTTTTACTCTGATACCTCTAAATAAAAACAAGCATCAGCGCCAACTGTGTGTACTTTCATCTCGCTGTAACTGCATCGCTTCTGTGGAAGGCCTTTTGTTAGGGAATAGTAGTGAGCAAACGGCATCGTGAAGAACAAGGAACACAGAAACAGCCAAAGAAGGATGTTTTAGAGGTCAGGTTAAAAACCAATATCCCAAAATATATTACACAGCACTGCTTAATCCATTAAGTGAAAAAAGAGAGAGCATGGAGCAGCTGTAGCCACCCAAACTGACAGGCTAGGACAGGGTGTCCAAACTTTTTGTCTCTTGGGCCAAAATTGTGGAGTCGAGAGGACGTGAGGGCCAGAAAAATGTCACAAATTTAATAAACACTTGTACGATGATGTTTTGTTTTTGTTTTGCTTTTTTTAAACTGACCTGATGATGTAATAGTTTAATTAAACAAATGAAACAGTCTGATTTTTCTGTCGCTGTTGGAAGGAAATGTGTAAACTATTGTAGAGCCAAAACTTGAGGGTTTTCTTTATTTCATTTTTTTCTCTTTTCTTTTTTTCATGTTTTTTTTCTTTTTTTTTTTTTTTGCAGATTTACCTTATTAAAAGACACATTTGACAGGTGTTTATTAAAATGTAGTCAGCTCGGAGCAGTATAAGCAGGACTTGGGGCCCCTCTGTGTTTGGGGCTGGATACATTTTGTCTTTGCAAAAGAATGCAAAAAGTGCGGTTATGTAAAGATTAGTACTTTGTATTTGAATAAGATTTCAATTTATCTCTAATCTTTCTGCTCCAATTAAAAAAAAAAAAGTTTCCATCTGGATCAAACTGGGGAGAATAACCTGCATTATTCTTTAACTTTAAGCAAAGTAGTCAGGACCTTACTGTCCCATACATCAAAAATAATATGTAAGGCTGGAAACTAACATTAGACATCAACCTGAACACTCCGTTCCCATGGCGATAGATGGTGGTGGCAGCATCATGCTATGGGAATACTCTTCCCAGAAGGCGATCCTGGAAGTCAGGCAGTCAGAGTGTAATGGGGTGGTTTAGATTTAATTATATTCACATCCAATAATGTCCCAGTCAAAGTTCACACCTCAATGATCCAGCTGAGAATCTGTTCTGACTGAAGCTGCCTTACAGGTGCAGCTGCAGACGAAAGATGGTCCTAAAAATAGACTCAAAAAAATTTGACTTCTGTTATTAAAGAAATCCTTTTAAAAGCACAAATAATTATCCTCGTCTTAGCAATTATGTTAAAGGCTATTTTGTGTTATTTTATCACATGAAGTCCTGGTAAATTGTAATGTGGTTATAACATAAAAAAATGTCAGAAGGTTTACTGGTTTCTCACACTTTTGCATGAAACTCCAGTCCTGAGAAGTCAGCAGACACCAACATGGGCGTGCAGACAAACAAATACAAGTTCACACACACACACACACACACACACACACACACACACACACACACACACACACGCACACGCACACGCACACGCGCAAGCTGCCTGCATAGCCAGAAGATCAGGCAGGACTTAAAAGCTCCTCCAGCAGCAAAATTACAGGGTACCTCTAAATCCTCCCAGCAGAAAGCACTATGCTATAGCGCAGGGTGGGGTGAGGGGAGGGGGTGAGGTAAAATAGAGGTGTGTGTTTTTTTCTGCATGTGTGCATGCATGTGTTGATGTATGTTAGCGAGGTAAAAGTGGGGCTTGTGTGTGGGGCACAGGGCGAGGGAGGCCAAAAGAAGATGCAGATGCATGAGATTTTTTTTTTTTTCTTCTCCAGAAAAAAGTGCAGGAACGGCAGATGAGTGAGACCTGATCTGTCTGATGTGTGCTGGCATAACTGCGTGTGTGCGTGTGTGTGTGCACATAGGACAGTTGTGCGTGCATATGCCTGCGAGGGGAATATGGAAGGAGGTGATGAAGTGAGGGGTTGAGGGAAGGAGGGACTGCCGAGCTGAGTTTGGAAAGAGGAGGTGGGAGGTGATCGCTCTCTGTTTAAGTGGAGGAAGCATATGTGCTTTGGATTGCATGCACGTGTGCGTGAGTGTGTGTGAGAGTGTGTGTGTGTGTGTATGCCAGCTTTCTTCTCTCACTCACACTCAGAATTTCTCTTAAACGCTCCATTAGACTCCTTAAATGTGTGTACTTTGGATTCTGTGTACATCTGAATAACTCTGCTGAAAGTTGCGACGTGTGGGCATGTGGACTTATCGCGATGTGTGTGCATGGCCTGCGAAATGTGTGAGCGACTAAAAAAAGATGTGTCTATATGCTCACAAATATTCATGAACAAATCCGTTCTCCTATTTATTTTTTTTTTTTTACTGTCGATGTGCTTGGATGTGTGTGGTCCGTGGACATCAGTCAAGAAAGCAGCCCCGCATTGCCGAGCAAAAGGCTTGGGCATTAAGGCCCTGCACAGCCAGCACCACCACTGGGCTGGTGCTTCAAGTCTACTTATGACAGCTTTTAACCTCTGCAGAGGACCTGTCAGCAGCTCCCAAAGTGTCTTTGTGTGTAGCTCAAAGACAGGGAGTGTCTGTGCCAGCCTCCCAGTCTGCAGTCAGAGAGAGAGAGAGAGAGGTTTGGCATCTCTCTCTCTCTCTCTCTCTTTCTCTCTCTCTCTCTGTGGGTGTCTGTTGTGTCACCTCCACAGTGGATCCAGCGGGGACAGAGCTTTTACCTTTCCACTCTCCATTTCCTTATCCCTCAACAGACCGCAAACCACGAGTCTCCCATGAGGAAGCACAAACGTTTCCCCCGCGCACTGGGTTTGGACGATATCTTCAAGAGACTATTTTTTATTTTTTTTTTAATTTAAGATCTTGAGAGGTTACATATGTGTGCCGAATTTCACAAACCTCGATCAAAGCAGGAGCTGGAACTGACTGTCTGAAGTCTCCTGGAGGGAACGGTGGATACGTTTGACCACAGCCGCAAAGATTTCACGTTGCCGTTGGATTGATGTCCAGCTATGTCCAATGTAGAGCAGACCCAATGACCCAGTGCCTGTTGTTAGACTGGAGCTTCGCTAGTTGAAACTGTGTGGTAATAATATCAAAAGCCACAGCTACACCCTCTTACGTCATCATAGTTTTGTTTAGCAACATCAGCTTATCTATCGCCTGACACAGTTTTACGCTGATATGGACAAAAAGAGTCAGAGAGCGCTGTCTATGAGAAAAACGTGCCACTCTGACTTATCAGTGGGCGGGGCTTAAGTGATGTCACTTTTTTTTTTCCATGTTGTTTTTGTTTCCAACCTGATTACCACCAACTGGGATAAATTTAACGATGAATAGTTGAGATTTTTTTTGTTTGCGTCATTTTTTTGTTTAATCGCAAATATTAATAGTTTGAAATCTGGCCCCGCCCACTTCCTTTGGTACATTTCACCCTCTAATAATAAGCTGTAAGCTGTTACATCAAATGTCAAAATGGCAGCTTTGACCCAAAATGGCCGACTTCGTTTTGGGTTTAGGACAAACTTCTAACCTGCAGAACATCAAAGTTCATATTCAATTATGTCTCAATGGGCAACTACTTTTACAGCGAATCACCATAAAAACAACAAAACTACCAACATTTATTTAGCTAGAAGGGGTCTGATGAGTTGTTTTACACAAATAAATGGTTGTCAACCCTAACATGTGAGCAGAGTGGGGTTTTTTTTCCTTTGTTTTTTTTTTTGTGTGTGAGAAAATTCAAGGTTTTAAGAATCACTTTTAACTTTCTGCCGTCATCATCAGCTCCAGAGCACAAGTAATGGATGGAGGTTTTAAGCACGATTGCCCTCGAGTGTACATGCCCTGTTTAAGTGAAGAACATTGTCAAGTGAGCACTGGATCATGAAAATGCAAACCCTGAATCATTTAGTAAACTGCATCTGGAATATTGTGTGTTCAGAGGAACAGAAACGGGGACAGAGAAAGTGGGGGCCGGGGGGGGGGAGTCGTTACCATACATAAAGTCAAAATGATGATTGTGGCCCGACATAGCCAACAATCAATTGGGTATAGGGCATACCTCCAATAATTACTTTGACCGTCTTGATGAGTTCTGCATGTGTACCAAATTTTATAGCTTTATGTGCCACGTCCAAGGTGGTGAAGTTTATGGGCGAGCAATTAAAACCCTTCTTTTTTTTTTTTCTACCTGTATCAACACAAATAAATTTCCTACTCCTTTAACAGTCAAAACTTTCTAGGAGTTTTTGAGAGAATAGCCAGGCCTCAAAAAAAAAAAAAAGAAGTAACTTCATCTAACTTAGGAAGAAACCAAATAAATTACACCAGCAGTTCATAAGCCCCAAAACCACTTTTGCTGTTCTCAACTAATTAAAGTTGCAAGAAACCTTGGCGGTACTTCGCCCTGCGTCCTTATGGGCAATACTACGTCAACAAGTTAGCACCCAGGTTCACTGGGGACGTTGTCAGTCAGAGGCACATAAAAACTCACACTCCTGCAAGTACCCATTGAAATTGCATCATTTGGCCAACAGAAGCTGACATGTTGTTTCGAGAGGAATAAGTTCAAGAGAAACTGGGTCAGACAGAGGAAAAAAAAAAATGCATTTCACTTCTCCGTTGCCGTGAGCTAAATACGGGTGTAAAATGTCAAAATAGTGGTTTCCAGCTTTCTGTTGGGTTTAGGGCGTACCTCCAAGAAACTTTCTTGTGCATCTTAAAGAGTTCTGCATGTGTACCGTTTTTCGCAACTCCACGTGAAGTCGGTCCGAGATGCTCCGGTCTTAGCTGACGATGTGGAGCGATTTTTTACGTCCAAAGTTGAGAGAGTTTCTGGGTATGTTCCGGCCTCCTAACAGACTATTCATTTGACGTAGGAAGAAAAAAATAGACTAAAGAAAAAAAGCACTCCAATGCATTCACAACCTTGTTCACAATAAAGTGGAGGACAATGTCCTACATGATGCAGTCAAAGCACACACACACACGCGCGCACACACACACACACACGCACCGGCACAGACAAGTAAACACGTACATACACACATGGCGTGGGCCGTGTGTCGGATCAGTTGGAGATAAAGGATGCAGAATAACAGGGGGACCTTGGGGAGCGGAGCAAGTCATCTGTCTCAAACATGAACAGACTGAGCGCGCTCCAACATGACATGATGTGGACAGACTCATTTTAAAGCACATCGCTTCCTGAGTCTCTCTCCAGTGACTCCTGCTCAGCCCTGCCTTTACCTAATCACTCACACATCCACTGAGCGCTCACACACACACACACATACGCTCACACACACACACACACATACGCTCACACATACAAATGCAAGCGTGGCCTGCTCGAGGTGTGCAAGCGCTCCTCTCGGCTGAAACCCACACGACCTGACAGGTGTACACCGAGGGAGTGCAGAGTTTTGAAAGCGGTCGATTGGTGCATTAAAACTCTGTAACCTGTTGGGGGGGGGGCGGAGAGGTGTGAGGAGTTACCGCTGGTAATGCTTTAAGCTGATGCAAATAGTTTTCGAAAATATGCGACGCAACGCCAGCACCCAAAGCTATTCCAATATTAATTCCAGAACCGTAACGACCGCCTGTAAAATTAAAGCCTGCGAAGGCTGAACCGCTGCCGATGTGGAACGTTTTTAGAAGGCAGTTTCAAACTTTACCAGCTATTTTAGCTGTAACGCAGTCCGTTGTGTGGAGAGTTTTGCCAGTAGCCCACACAGTCCTCCCTAATGACAGAGTAGCTAATTGGCAGTAATGGCTCTTTTCACCGATATCATCGAGCTGCAGCCCCGGAAAAACCCCAACAGTTTAGTGCAAATCACTTGCAGGCTAAAAACTGGGAAAGGAGCCTGAGGAAGTGACAGCGGCAGGCTTCTTTTCCCTCACATCAGCCACATCAGTAGTTAGGCTGAAAAGGAGGAAGCACTGTTTTAATCATACAATAACTTCAGAAGCGCGTTTGTTTTCTTTGTTCGCGGTAAACGTCGCTCCTCATTTATTAGATCGTTATTGTTGTTGTTTTTTTTGTTTGTTTTTTTAAAACTGTGTTGCAGACTTCAGCGCACAGGCATTAACACCCCTTAAACACACAAAACAAACAGGTGAACAAACACTTCTTGAGCGACACACACATACAGAGTTGCTCCTGTAGTCCTTCCTCTATGATGCTGCATCATTTGACAAACAGCAGCTGAAATGTTGCGTGTTGAGAGGAGTAAGTCAAGGAGAAACTGGGTCAGAGAGAGAGTCAGAAAGAGAGAGAGAGAGAGAGAGGGAGAGGAAAAAAAGTGGCATTTCACCTTCTGATTGGTGCAAGTTAAAGGTTAGGGGAAGATGCAACACATGCTGAGGCGCAGACGCACCCACAAACACAAGCTCAAAAAGCTAAAGGTTAATATTGTTCATGTGGGAGTTGCTGCGTCGTTGTTTGTCTCGCTTCCAACCATTATGTATGTGTGTGCAAGGCTTGTTTTCAGCTAACAATGTGTGCAGTTAACCAGGAGCACACAGTTTCATCCTTGTTAAAACAAGGGGTGGGGAATCTCTGCGTTAGTGTTTCATTAATCCCATCTTGCTTCTTTTTTCTTCTTCTTCTTCTCTCTTGTCACAGCAACAGTGGGCGAGATGCCCACTATTCCCTTTTTTTTTTCTTTTTTCAAACAACCACCCATTAATCTGCATCGACAATCAGTCAACATGACTTTTAAACCTGCACTTCAGCTTCGACTTTCATCCCCTCTCCCGCCGATCCATCCTCATTTGTTAGAAGGATCTTTGGTTGAGTTGACTGATGGCCTTCTGTCGCTTATATCAAATTAAAATATCCATCCAGCAGGTTTCGCCGTGCACGGTGTCCTGCGAGAGCATTTATAGCAGTTGAAGTTTTTCATATGTTGTCACTGTGCAACCACAGGGTTCACTGTGTTTCACTGGGATTGCAGTGGGACAAAGTAGTAAGTCATTTTAAGGGCGAGACAGATTCTTGGTTTTTAAACCTTTTTTTTTTTTTAGAAGCACGTGTACTGAAAAATGACGTCTATTTGGTATGCAATTTCAGTAATTGCAGTTTTATTTTGGAGGGGGAAATGTTTCTGCTGTGCACAGATACAGACTAGCCTTAGCCACTTAGCCTTTCTCTGCTAAACAACTCCAAGGTCGATTGGTGTGGATGCAGATTGTTTGTGAATATCAATCTCAAGTCCCAGACCAGGGCTTAATTAATTACACTTTAGCTAATGTTTATCCAATTGTCTCTTGCGAACACAAGCATCTTTTCTTGATTCTTCTGTATTTATGTCTGTCCATTTCACTAGTTTTTCCTTGACAAGCTTACCAGTCTCTATCGGAAGAAAAAACATCCCCACACCATGATGCCACTGACACCCTGCTTCGCTCTTAACATGGTGTGCTGGGGTTAATATGTTGTGCAGGTTTTCTGCATATTGCATGCAGGCCAGAAAATTCACTTTGGGCGTCATCTGCTTGCCTCAACACACACTGACCACAGAAAAGGGGAAAAAATAAAAAAGTTAGCCCTGCTCTGGATAAAATGTGTGGAATGCCCCTATTGGAAAAAAAAAAAAAAAACTACTTTGGAATCCCATCTGACTTTCATAAAAGTCAAATCGGTCTGCTCTCAGAAACTTTAAACATCATGAAAAACGTGCATCCATTTTCATTCTATTATACTAATTATATATTCTTCAGAGGAAGGCTTGGGGCTGCTGAACAACTTCATGTTTCTGATGATCTGCAGAGAGAGGGCTCCGTCTAAATGCAGTTTAAAAAAAAAATTTATAGTATGCCATTATGGTAGGAGATAATTAGTAAGTCACTCATGTTCGACGGAAAACTACCGTTGTCCCTTCTGTTTGCACCACTATTAAGTAAATGAGGGGTGCAGGCACCATGCAGTTAGCCTAAAATGTCTATTTCAACTGACATTTAACCTTCACTGTAAAGCAAAGTGCCTGCTAACAAAGAGTACAGCTCCTATTATCCTATTACATTGCCCCCTTTGTGAATGCCTTTGTATGAAGCTTAGCAAAAGATAAATCCCGGTAGCTATTTCCTAAGTATTGGTGGGTGGCACTGATATCGTCAGGTTGCACATGTGCAAAAATCAGCTGACAGATGTACACAGAAGGCCTCTTTAGCGAGCTCGCTACTCAGCGGGAGGCTCATTGAAGTTTTCGTCTTGCTTCGTTTGCACTGATAATCGTGCGAGGTGAACCCCGGTTCACTCGCTAACTTCCAGCTGTTGATAAAAAAATAATAATAATAAAACCGACCCACCTTTATCCATACTAGCTCGTTTTTTTTTTGTTTTTTTTTCTTTTTCTACCGGCCTTTCTTGTGGCTGTTGAGAGGAAAGGTGATTTGGGACTCTGGACTCCAGAGAGGAGTCGATCCACCTACAGAGCGGCGAGCCACAAATCAGCGCGATAAAAGAACCGCTGGGATGGATCGGAATGTGTTGAGATAGCGGTGGCATGTCAAAGGGCACGAGGGCTCTGAAAACCTCAACTGACTGAGGAGGTAATTTGCGAGTGAACTCCCCCCTGAGGGAAACCAGAGCCGAGGAATTGGAACAAATCAACAAGCCAGAACGGTGGCAGACGAAGTATCTGGAGCTCCGCCCCTTTCCTGCCGCTACATGTAAAATATGATCAGAAAGGTGGGAGGGAGGCGGGTGGGGTTTTGCATTTGCGCAAATGTTTTAAGATGATTTAGTGCGCGCGCGCCGAATCCATCCATCGTCCACAACGAGAGCGGCTTCATTTTCACTGACCTTTTCAATCCGGCCTCCGGAGGAGAGTTATGACAACTGAGCCGGCCTTGTGTTGCACGGCACACAATAACACACATCAGCAATGGCGAAACAAACAAACAAACAAATGATAACTCCTGCCGCAGGCTCGCTGGGCTTCCCATCTCAAACAGGTGATGCAGAGCAAAATGGGACGAGGCGTTTGAAAAGGCGAGGGACGAGGCGAGGAGTGGAGTGGATGCAACGCTCTCTGCTGAACTTTTTCAACCAAACACGTAAGTGAACGAAGGGGGGGAAGGATATTAGTGAAATCCTCACAATCTGAGTGATGAAAAACGGTCGATGGCAATCAATGACATTTATGCCTGCAGTATCCCCATGAACAAATAGCCGCCTAATTGCCTGAGCACTAGATTAGAGCAGAGAGCGCCAGTAAAGGCTTGGGAGAGAGACAGAGGATGTACTTGTTATGGAGGAGAGAGTTGATGTCAGCCCATCTGTTGTCCACTGAATCAAAATCTGCAAAAAAAAAAAAAAGAACGACAAACAAAGACGGGGATAGGTGTGTGGGCGCACACATGTCCCTTGTGCGTGGTTTGATTATTTTTGGACGTGGACGCCTGTGTGCGCCCAAACCTCCCTTGAGGAGAGTTTCTCTGGTACCTGCTAACATGTTAGGGGAGCTGACTGGAGCCAACATCGTTTCCGGTCAGAGCAGTCCTAATGCATAGTGACACACACGTACACAGACACATGTTGACACGGAGGTGGATATGAAAAAAAAAATGCTGTGGGAGATACGAGGGGAGGGGGGTGCAATGAAGCTAATGTGTAAAGCACCAGAGATTCCCACACGGCAGTGAGGCTTCTCCAGCCCTGACACGCAGGAAGCAGGGAAAGAGAAGCTCTCCCTCCTCTCCGGTACTCGCCAAAATCCCAATCAGAGAGCAGAAGCGGACCGCAGAGAAAAAGGGCCGCTGATTGCGTCCTAATGCGCACAAAGCCCGCACATCCACGCGTGTGCACTCACACATTGATTGCGTCCCAACCAGCCCAGCCCGGGTCTTTTCGGGCCGCTCCTTTCTCCTCGCCTCTTATATCACTTACACGGTAAACCCGCGCTGATCGGGGATCAGTGTTTTTTTTGGCACAAGATGGTAAAAAGAAAAAAAAAAGAGTCCAAGAGCTTAACCTCCCCTCTTGGAGAGAGAGGAGAGGAGAGAGAGGATCCGGACGCCCTGTTCTCTAACCGACCCAACCTAAACACAAATAAACAGCTACAGGAGGAAAATGTCTGGCAGACTCGGAACAATTTCCTGAAGGATCCGTCACTGCGGAGCGAAGAGACGGAGATGTGAGGAGGAGAGGAAACTAGGTGGTAGGGAGTAGGTTGGTTTTTAGATCATGTCGTCGTTTTGTCTTCTACGGTTTGAAGTCGTCCTGTTGAGACACAAGGCCTATCCAACGCAACACCACGCCTCCCCCATTCGATGCTGCGCACTGCTGCTCAGTCGCCTGAAGAACGGCACTAAAGGAGGGCCGCTATCCCAAACGCCGTTTCAACACAGTTGGCAAGCAACGGCGGGCAGCCGACTGCAGGCTCTGTTCAAGCGAGCTCCATCTGACAGACAAGAGAGCTGTGGTTTGAGCTCAGCTATTGGCCGGATAAGAAGTACGCTGAGAATATGTGTTTTTGGCAGAAACCGAAGGGGAACAACCTCAAGATGTCTCGAATCGAAATGGAAAACTGCATGAGTAGATTGTTTGAGATTATGGGCTGCATTGTTTAATTTTGTACTCTTGTGTTCTGGCATTCCTAGGAAACAATACAATCCTCAAAACTCCCTGGTTGGAGAGTTGAGGAGCCCAAGACTCTCTCTTTCTCTCTCTCTCTCTCTCTCTCTGTCTCTTGCTGCTGAACACTGGGGGATAATTGGCTAAAAGAAGGTTTCTTGCACTGATACAGGGCTGGGTAATCAATCAACAATATATATATTTCGATAGACACGTGATCAATGTAAACAGAGAGTACTTCAGGTAGAATGTTCAAGAATTTCATTAAACTCCAATCCAGAACCGCACAGCATTCTGGGGGACGTAGGCAGGGGAGGAAAGGCTTTAGCCGCTCTACCTCTCGCAGCCAGCTTCGCGAAGCTGGTGGCGTCAACAACCTCACTCACTCTTTGGTTACCTAGCAAC